CAAGGTTTATGATTCTTGGTTCTTCAAACATGTCAAACACAAAACTCAACCAAATGACCATTTATGAACGTAAAAACAACCTATATGAACATTCTAATCTTTAGATATATCTACGGGCTTACCTTGAAGCGTAGGGGAGGTTTTGAAGATTTTCCGGCGAACCTTCCGGCGGCTCTATCTCACTGCTCCGGCGACCTCATACAAAGATGACAGCACCACTGCACTCTACTCTCAGCAAGGAACAATATAGAAGGAAGAATGAATTGTTTTGGTGATGAAATGAGGGAGTGGGTTGTCCTTAAATAGCCCAGGGAAGAAGAAGAAGACACAGGTTTGCAGCTTCCGTGATTGAGCGACGATTTGGAATCGGCGTAAATGAACAGGGCGCCGTTTGGTGTGTAGTCCCTGATTGGGACTAATTTCGGTCTCAGTTGGGGTACACTTTTTGTTCCAACTTTCTCCAAAATGAAATCCGATTGAACCGTTGGGATCAGACAGTCAAACTCTACATAATGATATGATTTTCATTATTTATTGGGTCCTTCTCAGTAATTAATTAATTATAAATTAATTAAATCTGATAGGCCTATTTTTGGGGCGTTACATTTCTCTCCCCCTTAAAATAATTTCGTCCTCGAAATTACCTGAGTCATTGGTTGAAGAGATTCGGATACTGCATCCTCATTGACTCTTCGGTTTCCCATGTTGCCTCTTCAGTCGAGTGATTCCTCCATAGCACTTTGACTAAGGGTACAGATTTGTTCCTCAATTGTTTGACCTCTCGTGCTAAAATTTGTACAGGTTCCTCTTCATAAGTCAGTTTTTCGTCAAGAGTTACAATTCCCTCAGTCAAAATATGCGATGGATCGGAACGGTATCTTTTCAACATTGATACATGGAATACGTCATGAATCTTGTTCAATTCTGGTGGAAGTTCTAACCGATATGCTACTGGACCCACACGTTCAGTGATTCGATAGGGTCCAATATATCTCGGACTTAGTTTTCCCTTCCTACCGAAACGTAGCACTTTCTTCCACGGTGAGACTTTCAGAAACACCTTGTCATCAACATTATATTCGATCTCCCGACGTTTTAA